ATAATTTTTTCCACCCTATTGCACATAATTTAATTTCGTAAACAAAATGGAAAATGATTCTAGTTTCTTAAAAGATTATTTTCTATTTTTTTTTATTATGGTATTTTTAGGTGGATTTTTTTGAATGCAAACTAATTGAGATTCTTTAAATATCATCTTTGTACTTTTTGATTTTATCTATATTGAGATTCACAATTTACAAACTCAACTGACTTTTCTTTTTGAAAAGGAAGATCTTTATATTTACTTTAATAAAATGACTTATACTTGTTAGCTGATACTAGTTTTTTTTACTCGAGGTGATAAAAATTTGTATCTAAGAAAAATATGTAATAATGGTGTGGTCTAAGTGATTAAATAGAAGAAGATTTAGAATAGACTTAAAAGATGTGAGTGTGTAGAAAGAAGAGTTCTGAAACCAATTTATTGTTTATTATTATGATTAATATTGGAATCAATAAGTAGATGTGATTTCTTTCAAATTATTAGTGGAGATGACTAAATGGATTAAAATAATTTATTAGTTTATTAATGATTTATTAATATTTTAAAAAAATATTCAATTTAATTTATTTATTATTGATAAAATTCAATAAATTTATCTATTAATATCATTTTAATCAATGAATATTCATCTATTTAAAATATTAATTTAAATATATTTATTTATTATTTTTAAAAAAAACAATTTTTTTCGTATTTTTTGAAGAAAAAAATCAATTTTTTTGCATTTTTGAGAAAACTCAATTTTTTTTTTGAAAAATAATGAATTTTTTTTCATGTTTCTGAAGGAAAAAACTTAATTTTTTTATTTTTGAGAAAAATAAATTTTTAATTTTTGAAAAAATAATTTTTATCGTTTTTTTAAAATGGATTTAAAGTATATGATAAATATAATTTATTGGATGGATTTTGTCTAATCCATTAATTTATTTTTAAGAATTTCTTAATGCACCCCATAATCTTCTAGCGCACCGTGCAAAAATACTTTAATGCCCCCAGATTTCATAAATGAATCTTCGGACGCACCAAATATTTACTAAAATATCAATTATTTTAGATATATTTATATGTAACATTTTCGAATGTATATTTTTGAGATCTTGCATAGCAGAAGCAGAAAAACATAATGGAAAAATATCAATTTGACAAAATGAAAATACTATTGATTCATAAAATCAGCAATACATAAAAGATTTTAACATAGATCAAACATTACATTTCAATATTCAGGTGGACGATGTAAGATCTTGATAATATCATTGATCGATTTCAAAATAGTCGCGTTCAGCTAGATCGAAACTTTTGATTCTAAACTGAATAAGGTTCTCTATATAGCCCTTAAATCAGCGGCCATCTTCAGCTCATGATTGCTGAACTCAAGTTTCCCTTCTTTGTCATTGGATGGCGAACGGTACTCAATCTTCACAATTTTGTGATTGTTGTCATATCATAGAATGTCATGTAGTGTGTATTGTAGATCTTTAAGAAGGGTGTAATCGATGATCTTAAATTCTTTTGATGGTGTATTTTCGATAAAGTGAATATTTCCAACAATGCCAAATAATGTTCATTTTGATTTTTTATGTTTTGATATGAAACAATATGACAAATGATTTTATTTATAGTATTGGGAGGTTAACATAAACCTCACAACCCTATCTTGTTCCAGAAAACGTTTTAAAAATATATTTCTAAAACCTTCTGTGTCAGAACAGAAACGGAAACAGAACAATATATATATATATATATATATATATATATATATATATATATATATATATATATATATATATATATATATATCACCACAACAGTCACCGATGTTAGAGTAGATTTGAGTGCCCGGGTTGTGATTGTTTGTCATCGGAAACGCATCTTGAAGTGGTGCAAGAACAAATAGGTACATTGAAAATAAAATAAAACACATTTTCATAAGTATATATTATAAGTTATTTGAAGCTTGAATTGAATAAAACAAAACGTAATAAAAAAGAAGAAAAACAGAAAAAGAAGGATTAGTTACCTGGCGATGGAGGAGGGAGAGATGCAAGAGCTGCGGAAAAACAAAAAACATGGTCAATATTATGGAGAAACGATTTGCTCCCATTGTTGAAAACTGTAAAAAAATACAATAATGAAAATTTTGATGAAGGAAGTTGACATTATATCAGTAATTACACTTTGCTTAATTAGTGAAAAAAACTTTCTTTTCATTACATTATTAAAATAGCAAAGAAATAATTATAAAAGACAGTTAAATTCAACCAACCATCTGCGTGTACTTATTTAGTTTTAATTTATAAGTCTTAATAAGTTTTATTTTAAAAAAAAATACAAATTTAAAAGTAAATAAATAATTCATAAAAAAATAGTAATGAAAGTCTCATTTATTTTCTATATATCTCTCTTTTTCGATACTCTCTTACCTTTTCTCAGGTATCTTTCAATATTATTATCCTTTGTGTTTAATTTTTTTATTTCTCTTCAACTCTTGAATAATAGTATGACCGACAAGTGTCTGATTCTATTCTCCTTTATCGAGTAAAGCAGAAGTAATTCGAAAATTATAGTTATTGTCACTTGATATCGACAATCCATTTAATATAATTGTGCAAAAACCAAAATCTCTTCGATGAATGAGATTTTTGATGGAGGCGGTGTAGAAGGTGATTTTCTAACACGAGCTTTTTTAAAAACACTTTTATAAAATTTCAGAGTCGGTGAATCGAGAAACTTTTTGTCAGCGTGTTCAAAATATGATGAACTTCTCATTGTTAAATTGCCACTTGGTGTAGGTTTGACCTACTTAGGTGTTTCTTTTATTTTTATCGGTTGAGATGATGGTTTCAATTTTGTGGTCTTCGAAAATAAAATCTTCTTTTAGAGATATTTGACTTACAGTCTTTCATAACACCGTCATTGCAGCATGTGATCACGAAATTCATACACTTGCTCATTTTTATAATGGTTCTCAATATCTATCACCTCCACTACTACACGTGAAGCATCTTGAGACACAACAAATTTGAGAATATCATCGGGATGTACCATACCTAATAAAAACAAAAATATAAAAAACTAAGAAGTATCCATCACACGTAGATGATTGCTAGAAAATCAACACATAAAGTTTTCAGAAATATATACTCGGATGAATTTATAGAGATTTCAAAAATACACTTCCGTTTATAGCGTGGCCTTTTTTTTTACTTCAAAAAAGATACATTCGAAAATATATTCTTGAAAACAAAAAGGCATTTTTTGATTTTTCATAAGATTCTTTTAAACTATATAAAGTGCAATAAAAAAATCTTCTCTACTTTTTAAGTGGTGAATAAATTAAATGAATTTTTTAATAAATGAATAAGATAGATTTTGTTTTAATAGATCCAATTGCCACCCTTAATTATTAATAATGCATCTCCTTCGTTCTACCTTCTACATAGATTGTTATGAGATAGGAGGTGGAGAGAAGGTGGAAAGAAAGTGGTTTTTTATTAGTGGGTTATGGTATGGTTATATCTAACATGTTTAATGTTTCAGTGGGTTATATTTATTATTAAAATGTGATTATTTCAATTTAATAATTTATATATGGTTAGTTAGAGAGAGGTTAGTTTCTTTATTTTTAATAAAATTCCTCATAAGAAAATAACAAGAATCAAACTCAGAATTTATGATTAAATTAGAAAAGATTCACTCTATCTCATTCAAATGTTCTTTGATGATAATTGATAATTATTTAATTGAAAAAAAATGAGTTTCATAGATTCGTTTTTTTTTTGGTAATAGGAAGAAAACAATATTAAGTTAGTCAAAAACATGGATAATGAGAAGTTTTTAAAAATTAGATAATATTTTATTGATTAAAAGAACAATATTATATTAGTGGAATAATTATTATTAAATAAATAAATATAGAAAATTAATTAAACGAAAAAATATCAAGTAAGTGGGATAATTATTCTAAAATAAATATAGAAAATTACAGAATTAACCTACATTTTGAGCTAAAAATTATTAAGTGACTTAACTTTTATGTATAAAATAAATATTAAAAAATTATAAAATTAACCTCCACTTTAGCGTCAATAGTTGTTAATAAATAAATAAATATATTAATGTACAATTAAAAAATGTCATGTTGCATTTATATACACACCTTTTTTTTTATATAAATTAATATACACACCTTTGTTATCTATATTTTACAAAAAAATTTGATGTGAAACTTATGAAAAATTATTATTTTCAAAGTATAATTAAAGAAAAATGTCATGCTGCATTTATATTCAACCTTAGTTATCAAGAATCTGTGTATAAGAGAAACATGACTTTACTCTCATATATCCTTTGATCACTCTTTTTAGTGTATAAGAAAAATTGGAATATGAACTAAAAAGGACTCATGGGCAACAAAATCAGATTTGTGAAGCCTTGTAGGAGAACCAATGTAGCAGCACCAACCAGCAAAGTTATATTTTCATTAGTCTAAACCTAAAGTTAAACAATGCCTTTGATAATTGATAGTGATGCTGTGATTCAATATACTGATTTGGAACTACATACTAGACAGTCTCATCAAAATAAGCAATAAGTTTCGAGTTATAAAATTAAAATACTCAGGAGTTGCAATCAATGGAACAATTTATTGCCTCTTGTTCTGATTAAGAAGATTGAGAGATTTGAAAGAAAAGAGTTTTGTGTATGATTGCCAGAGCCCATAAAATGAGAGCCTTGTGCACTGGGTTACCCCTTATAACAGTGAGATAACAACCCTAATGAAAAAAACTTTATTTTCTCTTCAAGTCCTATTCTTCTTCTGGAGCATTTCACACACTTGCCAATATCAAAGCAACAATTATTCTAGAATCTCTCAATGATTTACTGAAAATCAATAGCATTCATTATTTGCACTTTTCCTACCGATAAGTAATGTATAGTAGCATTACTAACTGTCCTGAATAAAATGAGAATAGCGAAAAGTATCATGTTGCTCAAAACAGGATAATACTAACAGCTAATAAGAGGATTGAAGAGAAAACCAGTCCAATTTTGCTGATAAAATTGGCACCATTAGAAGTCTCAGGAGCAAAGGTTCCACCAGGAGTGTTTGTGGTCAGTACAATAACGATCCAATTATCTTCTGAACCGATACCAATTCCAGTATACTTTGAGTCATTGAGACTTTGTGAGTAGAGAGATTGTGTGAAATTAGAAAGTACAATGCTCGGAACAAGGCCAGGAACACAAGCAGGCATTATAGATCCATCCCTTGTGTCAGAAATATTTAAGTGGCATTTAGTTAAAAGGTCTGGATAGTTGGAGAAATTAGGTTCAGTACCTGGCACTGTATTGGCACCTGTGGTATTTGTACAAGGTTGACTCTTGAACTGGTCAGCAAATTCTTCCGCAAAACAATTAGCATTGTCATTCTTTGTTAGAGAAGTCAAGTTTAATGATGCACGGTACTTGTTGACTCCCTGAAAAAGCACGTCTTCCTCATCTGCAGTGGAATGTTAAGGTAAGGTAAGTACAGTTCCAAAGGATTAGCTTCAATGCACACATTTATTAGGGTTTGTTTGGATAGGCTTATTTGAGTTTATCTACTGAAATAAACACTTACGATATTGTTAGAACTAATAAAACAGCTTATGATATGTTTATAAATTATTTTCAACTTATTTCCATTAGCTCTTCGGGATAGCTTACAAGAAAACAATTTGACTTTAATTTACCATGCGTTATAGAAATAGCTTATTCAAATTAAGCCAATTATCCTAAAAGGACTAAGGGCGTGTCAGTTTCAGCTCGAAAGATGTCCAACTTACTCCTGATTCAATAAACCAAGGAAGATGGATTCCCTCAAGCATGAGTTTGAGTACTTCCAAACTGAAACTCAAACAGTTTAATTATGCGCTTACAACATAAACATTATCTTTGACTAAATTCTTCATCAAATCAAAACAATTAGGTTACTACATTGTTTAATAAATATATCTACTATTTGTTATACAAATAAATTCAAAATTTCAATGAATCTGATCTTATATCACTGCATGTCTGCATTAAACCAAGTCCCTATAAAGCTTGAAACGACTCATTAACAATGAACTCCATTTTAGTTATATTTGCATACATTTAATTACTCATCTGATAGATCTACCAAGTCACAAATCAATAAATTCGAATAAAAACATCATCAATTTTAGGTTTCTAACTACAGCAAAATGCAATTGAAAATGAAAAATTCAAAATCAACATCAAAATCTAGAGTAATTAATACTTTCACCGAATCCTAGATAATTTCGTAATCATATAGTAAAGTGCATTAAGAATCAGATCTAGATCTACATTACTACGTACAAAGAAACTACTATAATGTAATACTAGAAAAATTGAACGTGAGAGAGAGAGGGAGAGGGAGTAACTAACCGTTGTCGCATTTCACGTAGAGAGTGGATAAGAGAATGGAAGAAAAGAAGAGAGAGAAACGGAGAAACGCCATTTTTGAAGATTGAAGAAGAAGAAGAGAGTTGATTTGAAAGAGAATAGTGAATGAGAATGGTGGTAGAGACTATAAGAGGAAACTAGCTTTTGACGGCAAAAAGGTACAACGACAGCGTTTTGTAAATTTTAAATTTTAAATTTCTGAAATAAAATAATTCAAACTCAAAAACTCTAACTTAATAGTGTCCCCATTTACCAATGCGTTAATGCAGTTTTGTGTGATTAACTCTAATGTTAGGTTTGTATTCTTAAGTCTCAAAATTCATTAAATTGAATTAATTACGTAAATTTTAAAAATAAAAATCAAGTATTATTTTTTAAATAAATTAAGTAGATTTCTATTTTTAAAATGTAGTTTTTTTAAATGTAAAATTTCAATTTAATTAACTGTATTTTTTTCAATTCAAATGTAAACTCTAAGTATAATTAATCAAATAGAAATAAATTTATTATTATTTAATGGAATCAAATACTAATTCAAATTAAATCATTTATATATTTATATTTGATTATTTATATTTAAGGCTTACATTTGATTAGTTTAATTTCTATTTGATTAATTTGATTTTTATTTGATTAATTCAAAAATATATATTTGAAAAACTCCATTTAAAAAAATACATTTAAATGTAATTTAATTTGAATAATTGAATTATTTAAAAAATTACATTTCAATAATTTTATAAATTACATTTGAAAAAATACATTTAAAAAAATACTTGAAAATAAAAATATATTTAACTCTTAATAACTATAACATGAAATTAAAATCTATTTAATTCATCTTTCATCAAAATTAAAATCAAATTAATCAAATAGGGTTTATATTTAATCAATTTTTTGAAATCTATTTAGATAATTCAATTTAATTAACTCAAAATTTCTTAATAATTACTTAACATGAGATTTTTATTAAAATTGGCTAATGGCCGGAAGCGGGGTAACGCATGGAACATGCGGTTTTCTGGTTTAATTTTGCCTTAAACCATTTTTCATGTTTATTTTGGTTCACAAAAGGAGAATAAAGAAAATGCTTTTTGCTTAAATAGATATGACATTTTAAAATGAATAATTAAAAGAAAAAGTCAACTATGCAGTACATATTATTTAAAAAATTAAAAAAAATGTATTATTTTTCTGATGATCAAGTAGAATCTTTACAAGGGATGGAGAGAATTCAAATTTTGTTTTTATATGGGGTTTTTCAAAAAATCATTCATATATGACAAAGGACAAAATATGTATTAATCTAAAAACAATTAAACAAAAACTACTCAAAATCTTCATCATCATTAAACACTCCATGATGCATATGACATCTATTTTCTGCAAGAATCTAGGTCAGAACATTCATCTTCTTGTCATCCTTCTTCACTCTTGATAGTTTTGTTGAGGAGAGTTTCAATTGGAGTAGTTTTTGGAATTTCCTAATCAAATTCTTCTAAAAGATGTGTTTTTCCCGGTTGAGGGTGAGCTGACTTACTTGAAGAGATTTCCTTTCTTTGAAGGATTTTTAGGACAACACTCCATTTTTATGTCTATTCTCACTTGTCCTAGTGTGTTACTTCCTATTTCAATGTACTCATTGTCTGATTCTTAATCCTCAAGGTTGAATCTGATATGTACCAAAAAATTATTATCTACCCACCAAATGGTAGCCATATATTCTTTATCTTGTTATTAATTATGTGGTGGATTACAACATTTGTTTAATTTGTTTCTACTTTATTGGAAATTTTTCAGACCACAACAAACTTTGGATCTAGATAAATGTCTAAAGTTGTATTTCTTTAGAGCAAGAATATGGGAGACCACATAATAGATGAGACAAATATTAGGGAAAATTTCCCTCACTTTAAAAGGGGTAGGAATGCCAAAACTAGGATCAACTAAGAATGAAACAATAACATGAAAATAAGAAAAGACATTACCTTCAGCTTCATTCTCTTAGTCGGTGCATTAAAGACTGCATATCTCACTGAATTCTTAAAAGGATGACTTGATTTGATCTTCTTCATTACCCCATTGAGGATCCCTCTGACATATTTCAGGTTGGAGTATAACGTCCTAACCAAAGTTTGAAACACTTCTTCAGGGAAGTCATATATGAAGCTTTTTAGATATACTTCTTCAAATCACTTGAAAAATTTCCACTCTAAGGAGAGATAACAAAAGTCTGAACATAAAATAATTAGTGATAAAGGTTGTGTATAGTAAGGAATAATTATTTATGTGATCATCATCAAATAAAAAGTTACTAGTTCCTTTGTAGCAATACATATTTTGCAATGAGAATAATATCATATAATGTATTATGAAATTAAGATTATTGACACCATAGTTTAATTCCTCAATATGATATTCATATTCTTCATGGTGATCATGTTCATTGTCGTATGTTGGAGTTTACTCCTCTATTGATGCACAAGAGGAAGAATATGGAAATGAAATAAAATTACAGAGAGAGAAAGAAAAGAGAGAATTATGTGACTAGCTTTTTGAAGGTGTGAGAAACACAAGAAAGGAGGGTTTGAATTGGGTTTCACCAAATATAATTTTAAATATTTTCATTGATGAAAGACCAAGTTGACTTAAAATATAAAAATAAATGAACACGATTATTTTTATCCCGACTCACTGTTAACTAAACTACTCCAATTCATCCCTCAAGGTGATTTACCTTAAACAAGGACTTAATCCACTATAACCAAACTGATTACAGATAACCCATAATAAGTCATATCAACCTTATTAGCACCCCCAATAAGTCTGCCGGTCCTTATTGAAAATCCACTCTAGCCGAAACAGGAGTTTTCTTGAGATCATACCTTCACTCGGTCACTCAAGGAATCAATCAACAAATGTTGAGTACTTTCAATGTATTACAGTTTACTTCTTTTAAGCAGATTACACAAACATTTTAGTATAAAGAAAAACACTTAAGTGTTTCACAACAAGATATGAGCAACAACTCCTTGCCTATTTACAAAACTATACACAAAGGATTTTTCTAAAGAGTTGCACATCGTTTTAGTGTAGTTTTGCTTGAGCTTGATTTAATTCGATAGATTTTTGTGATGATGACTCTTACTTTTCTTCAGCTTCCAAGTTTCCCTTTTATATATTGTAAAAGAGGTCTGTTGAAGAGGTAGAAAGATAATCAAAAATCCAGTTGTTTGTTCCCAACGGTCATAATGAGAGTAGTACACTGTATAGTACTAAAGGACTGTCCTTACACCACCCTAGAGGGTAGAAGTCACATAAACTTTTTGTATCTTTTGTACATCATCATACGCTAACTATTTTGAACTTCTTCTATTCTTTAGAGGCTTCAGATAATTTGAATGTTTAAAGCTTGTTGTAGAAGAATCACTCTTAAGTCTTAGAACTTAAGTCTTGGAGTCTTCAGAACTTATCCCATCAGAACCTTGTCTTCAGAGTCTTCGACACTTGGTCGTAAGAACTTGATTTTCTTCAAATCATCATAACTTATTCAGCAGAACCTCGCCTTCATAATCTTCAGAACTTAGAACATACATAAGCAAAGCTTTAGAAGGCCTCTAAAGCTTAACCACCAAGTCACGATCAAAACCTCTTGTACTAACGTTCTTAAGAATCGTTGTATAAGACGAATTCTAGAACCTTGACTTCAACTATAACATGTAACCACATGTTTTCTTCTAATAGTGTTTATGTTTAGAATCTGATGACATCACATACCTTGATACCAGAGTTAGAACATTACAGCAGTAACTACACACTAGAACGAAACCATTAGAGTATACAATTATTCTCTATGATATCATGTAAAGTTATCATTAAAATCTTAAGGCCAGATGTAGAAACACTTCTTGTTCTTACAATCTCCCCCTTGTTGATGATGACAAAACCATGTATTTTGATAGAACAATTTTATACAGGGTAATCACCGTAAACGATAAATTCATAGTTAAGCTCATATCTCCCCCTGAATCTGTTAATCCCAAAATTTCATTTATGCTTGTTCAGGGTCTCCCCCTGAGCCCAAGACTCACAAATTAAATTTTGAGTTTTCAGAAAAAAGAATTAGAGAAGGATCACTTCCCTACAATAACTCATCATAGTCTTACTATATAACCTGGTCTTCATCTCAGAACCTAGTTACTGTCAGCACTTGATGAATAATCAAAACTTGATTTTGAGCCTGATTGAATTATGTCACGCATTATGTATCAACACTTATATTTCTTGATTCTAATATCACAACAAAAACACTATACTTCTAGAGAAGTTCACTACTTCTTAAGCACCAACGTTTGACATGATATTTTCCAAAATATCATACATTCAGACAGTTCACAACTTCTGAGTAGAACATACGTTGAAGAAGCACACATTGCAGAAGCACATGTATCAGAGCACATCTTTTGAGTGGCATCTCTGTATCAGAGCATGCATCAGAATGTTGACTTGAGTTCCTTTCATGAGAGTACAACTTATGAAGCTTTAAGTATGAATTCCATATTTTTAGAAAGTTCACAACTTGTGAACACTATGATATCAAGCTAGACTACCTTACTTTTAGTAAGTTTATAAATTTTGAATTGTGTTTGGTACATTTGTTTGAATATTCATATACTCACAAAGTGTACAACTTCTTGTATATGAAAACAAAGTTGATTTCATCCATAAGGTTCTCAACCTTAGACATCAGGATCTTCATATTCAACCTATCTTAGAATACTCAGTAAACTTATTCAAAGTTCCTGTATTAAAACATCAAACAAACAGTTAGTAGCAACAACATTATATATGTTTGAGTTTAAGATTCTGAGAATAAATATTATCAAAATCATTTTACTTTCTCCCCCTTTGTCAGAAATCAAAAAGGTGATAAAGAGACAGAAAAAACTTTGAAGATAACTGATAATTAGATAAAACTTTATTAAAACCAGAGTTTAAAAGATATAATTATTTTAGAAACAAAAGAAAATAAATGTTAAGTTCTGAGACAGTGGT